TTGCAGATCAGGCGGCCGTGAGGCGCAGCATTCGGCGCCTGAGGTGCCGAATCGGGTGCCTTGCTGCCGCTGGCTGCCGCTGGGCTGCTGCGGGCTGCTGGATGGTGAACCACCAGGTCCCACATTCGGCGGCTGAGGTGCAGAATCAGGCTCCTGAGGCGCAGCATTCGGCGCCCGAGGTGCCGAATCGGGCGCCTCGCTGCAGCTGCCTGCCGCTGGCTGCTGCGGGCTGCTGGCTGCTGCGGGCTGCTGGATGGTGAACCACCAGGTCCCACATTCGGCGGCTGAGGTGCAGAATCAGGCGCCTGAGGCGCAGCATTCGGCGCCTGAGGTGCCGAATCGGGCGCCTTGCTGCCGCTGCCTGCCGCTGGCTGCTGCGGGCTGCTGGATGCTGAACCACCAGGTCCCACATTCGGCGGCTGAGGTGCAGAATCAGGCGCCTGAGGCGCCGCATTCGGGGCCTGAGGCGCCGAAATGGGCGCCTTGCTGCAGCTGCCTGCCGCTGGCTGCTGCGGGCTGCTGGATGCTGATCCACGAGGTCCCACATTCGGCGGCTGAGGTGCAGAATCAGGCGCCTGAGGCGCCGCATTCGGCGCCTGAGGTGCCGAATCGGGCGCCTTGCTGCAGCTGCCTGCCGCTGGCTGCTGCGGGCTGCTGGATGCTGAAACACCAGGTCCCACATTCGGCGGCTGAGGTGCAGAATCAGGCGCCTGAGGCACAGCATTCGGCGCCTGAGGTGCCGAATCGGGCGCCTTGCAGCAGCTGCCTGCCGCTGGCTGCTGCGGGCTGCTGGCCGCTGAACCACCAGGTCCCACATTCGGCGACTGAGGTGCAGAATCAGGCGCCTGAGGCGCAGCATTCGGCGCCTGAGGTGCCGAATCGGGTGCCTTGCTGCCGCTGGCTGCCCCTGGCTGCTGCGGGCTGCTGGCCGCTGAACCACCAGGTCCCACATTCGGCGGCTGAGGTGCAGAATCAGGCGCCTGAGGCGCAGCATTCGGCGCCTGAGGCGCAGCATTCGGCGCCTGAGGTGCCGAATAAGGTGCCTTACTGCCGCTGGCTGCCGCTGGCTGCTGCGGGCTGCTGGATGCTGAACCACGAGGTCCCACATTCGGCGGCTGAGGTGCAGAATCAGGCGCCTGAGGCGCAGCATTCGGCGCCTGAGGCGCAGCATTCGGCGCCTGAGGTGCCGAATCGGGTGCCTGAGGTGCCGAATCGGGTGCCTTGATGCCGCTGGCTGCCCCTGGCTGCTGCGGGCTGCTGGATGCTGAACCACCAGGTCCCACATTCGGCGGCTGAGGTGCAGAATCAGGCGCCTGAGGCGCAGCATTCGGCGCCTGAGGTGCCGAATCGGGTGCCTTGCTGCCGCTGCCTGCCGCTGGCTGCTGCGGGCTGCTGGCTGCTGCGGGCTGCTGGATGCTGAACCACCAGGTCCCACATTCGGCGGCTGAGGTGCAGAATCAGGCGCCTGAGGCGCCGCGTTCGGCGCCTGAGGCGCAGCATTCGGCGCCTGAGGTGCCGAATCGGGTGCCTTGCTGCCGCTGGCTGCCCCTGGCTGCTGCGGGCTGCTGGATGCTGAACCACCAGGTCCCACATTCGGCGGCTGAGGTGCAGAATCAGGCGCCTGAGGTGCCGAATCGGGCGCCTCGCTGCAGCTGCCTGCCGCTGGCTGCTGCGGGCTGCTGGCTGCTGCGGGCTGCTGGATGGTGAACAACCAGGTCCCACATTCGGCGGCTGAGGTGCAGAATCAGGCGCCTGAGGCGCAGCATTCGGCGCCTGAGGTGCCGAATCGGGTGCCTTGCTGCCGCTGACTGCCCCTGGCTGCTGCGGGCTGCTGGATGCTGAACCACCAGGTCCCACATTCGGCGGCTGAGGTGCAGAATCAGGCGCCTGAGGCGCAGCATTCGGCGCCTGAGGTGCCGAATCGGGTGCCTTGCTGCCGCTGGCTGCCCCTGGCTGCTGCGGGCTGCTGGATGCTGAACAACCAGGTCCCACATTCGGCGGCTGAGGTGCAGAATCAGGCGCCTGAGGCGCAGCATTCGGCGCCTGAGGTGCCGAATCGGGTGCCTTGCTGCCGCTGGCTGCCGCTGGGCTGCTGCGGGCTGCTGGATGGTGAACCACCAGGTTCCACATTCGGCGGCTGAGGTGCAGAATCAGGCTCCTGAGGCGCAGCATTCGGCGCCCGAGGTGCCGAATCGGGCGCCTTGCTGCCGCTGCCTGCCGCTGGCTGCTGCGGGCTGCTGGCTGCTGCGGGCTGCTGGATGCTGAACCACCAGGTCCCACATTCGGCGGCTGAGGTGCAGAATCAGGCGCCTGAGGCGCCGCGTTCGGCGCCTGAGGCGCAGCATTCGGCGCCTGAGGTGCCGAATCGGGCGCCTTGATGCAGCTGCCTGCCGCTGGCTGCTGCGGGCTGCTGGCTGCTGCGGGCTGCTGGATGCTGAACCACCAGGTCCCACATTCGGCGGCTGAGGTGCAGAATCAGGCGCCTGAGGCGCAGCATTCGGCGCCTGAGGTGCCGAATCGGGTGCCTTGATGCCGCTGGCTGCCCCTGGGCTGCTGCGGGCTGCTGGATGCTGAACCACCAGGTCCCACATTCGGCGGCTGAGGTTCAGAATCAGGCGCCTGAGGCGCAGCATTCGGCGCCTGAGGTGCCGAATCGGGTGCCTTGCTGCCGCTGGCTGCCGCTGGGCTGCTGCGGGCTGCTGGATGGTGAACCACCAGGTCCCACATTCGGCGGCTGAGGTGCAGAATCAGGCTCCTGAGGCGCAGCATTCGGCGCCCGAGGTGCCGAATCGGGCGCCTCGCTGCCGCTGGCTGCCGCTGGCTGCTGCGGGCTGCTGGCTGCTGCGGGCTGCTGGATGGTGAACCACCAGGTCCCACATTCGGCGGCTGAGGTGCAGAATCAGGCGCCTGAGGCGCAGCATTCGGCGCCTGAGGTGCCGAATCGGGTGCCTTGCTGCCGCTGGCTGCCGCTGGGCTGCTGCGGGCTGCTGGATGCTGAACCACCAGGTCCCACATTCGGCGGCTGAGGTGCCGAATCAGGCGCCTGAGGCGCAGCATTTGGCGCCTGAGGCGCAGCATTCGGCGCCTGACTTGCCGAATCGGGCGCCTCGCTGCAGCTGCCTGCCGGTGGCTGCTGCTGGATGCTGGATGCTGACCTACGAGGTCCCACATTCGGCGCCTGAGGTGCCGAATCGGGCGGCTCGCTGCCGCTGCCTGCGGCTGGCTGCTGCGGGCTGCTGGATGCTGAACCACCAGGTCCCACATTCGGCGGCTGAGGTGCCGAATCAGGCGCCTGAGGCGCAGCATTCGGCGCCTGGTGTGCCGAATTGGGTGCCTTGCTGCCGCTGCCTGCCGCTGGCTGCTGCGGGCTGCTGGATGCTGAACCACCAGGTCCCACATTCGGCGGCTGAGGTGCAGAATCAGGCGCCTGAGGCGCAGCATTCGGCGCCTGAGGTGCCGAATCGGGTGCTTTGCTGCCGCTGGCTGCTGCGGGCTGCGGGATGCTGAACCACCAGGTCCCACATTCGGCGGCTGACGTGCTGAATCAGGCGCCTGAGGCGCAGCATTCGGCGCCTGGTGTGCCGAATTGGGTGCCTTGCTGCCGCTGCCTGCCGCTGGCTGCTGCGGGCTGCTGGATGCTGAACCACCAGTCTCACATTCGGCGGCTGAGTGCAGAATCAGCGCCTGAGCGC